ATTGGGATATGGGATTGGAGTATGGCACTGGGGTACGGGACTGGGGTATGGGATAGGGGTACGGGATTGGGATACGGGATTGGGATATGGGATTGGGATATGGGATCAGGGTACGGGACTGGGATATGGGACCGGGGTATGGGATTGGGATATGAGACAGGGATATGGGATTGGGATATGGGACTGGGATATGGGATTGGGATATGGGATTGGGATATGAGACAGGGATATGGGATTGGGATATGGGATTGGGGTATGGGATTGGGATATGAGACAGGGATATGGGATTGGGATATGGGACTGGGATATGGGACTGGGATATGGGATTGGGGTACGGGACTGGGGTATGGGATTGGGGTATGGGACTGGGATATGGGACTGGGATACAGGATTGAGATACGGGATAGAGATTTGGGGTTGGGGTTTGGGATTGTGATCCAGGTTTCTCTGAGCACACACAATTCCGTCTGGAGGGGTAGATGAGGTCGCTGCCGGTGCCAGCGGGGTGGGGACAGCAGCAGGACACGGTGTCCCAGCAAGGACGGCCCCGCTGCCCCCCAGTGACCCCAGGGCGGCCGCTCCCCTCACTGGGAACACGCTGCCAGCACCACCACAGCCCTGCTTTATTTCCTGCTTTATTTCAGACCCCTTCGGGGGTTTTATCCCCAAAATCTCCTGCCGGGCTGCGGGGCCTGGAGCGCGTTCAGGAGCATGTGCCGGAGCTGGAGCGGGGTTAGCTGGGGCGAGGCTGCCTCGGGAGCTGCTGCAGATACAGACACAGCCTGTTCCCACTCCCAGCATAGATATTTATAGATACAGATGTTCCTCCAGCAGCAGGGTTCAAGCTGGAGGTTTTCATTTTTTTATTTTTTTTTTTAATTTTTTTTTTCTCCCTTTCCTTCCTATCCCTCCTTTGCTCTTCAAAGCGGGGCTGAAGGTGGAGCAGCAGCTTCGAGAGCAGCAGGAAGGCTGAGGAGTCAAGCCCAGCTGCAAATGAAGGCTTTAAGTGGGTTGAGGTGTCCCCGTGTCCCTGTGCGGGGCCGGGGGCTCCTTCCCAGAACCCCCAAAGCACCCCCGGGAATGGGGCCGGGTTTGGGGCTGGAGCTGCCCCCGGGAATGGGGCCGGGTTTGGGGCTGGAGCTGCCCCCGGGAGCGATCCCAGCCCGAGGGATCCCAGAGAGAGATTCCCGAGGGCAGGAGGGGGCTGAGCGACGGATCCTGATCCTACACAACTGGGATGTTTGGGGCTAAGAGGGGCAGGGCCCTTTGGTCCCCCCGAGGGGTCCCCTCCTGTCCCCCTCCCCAGGGCAGGGCTCCCCCTCCCCTCAGACCCCTCCAGGCTGGGATTTTCCAGCTCATTCCCCGCATGGCTTCAATCCCGCCACCCCCCCAGCATCTTCCTGCCCCAGAGAACTTCTTGGGAAGGAGAAAATCCCGGGGGAAATGAACCCACACCCAGGGGAGCAGCGCCGGTCGCTGCCGGTGCCCCCGAGCGCTCTCTTTAGAGGCTGGGCAAGGGCTCTGCTCCGCAATTAATTAATTATCCATGCCCTGTGCTCCGTCTGGGAGGCATTAATGGCTCCAGATGCGGATCGCGGAGCTCTGCGTGGCTCTGTAAACACGCTGGAAGTCCAATTTGGGTTTCCTCGGGTGCCTCATTTAAATGAATTATGTAAACGCTTTCCCCTCCTCTTTTGAGCAGGAGCCAGTCCGGCTGCTGCCCGATGTGTTAATCCCAGGAATAAAATAAAAAACAACGAGCCCGTGCATTCAAGGGAATAAAATGATGCTGGGGAGCCCCTGGAAGCACCGGGATGGCCGGGGTGGGACCGCTGTCCTGGCGTTTCCCTTTTCCCACCCTTTTCCCAAGCCCGGCGTTAAATCCAGTTTAATTTGGGAACGCAGTGCCCACAGTCACCTTCCGTGACCGCTGCCTGGCTTCTCCTGGGCTCCCCAAAGTCCCACGCTGCCCTTCTCAACCCATCCCTCTGGGGTGACCCTCCAGGGAGTAATTAGAGCAATTAAAGCCGCCTGGGGAGATAATGAGTGCTGAGGGGTGGCAGCAGGTCCCTGCTCTGGTCCCGCTCTCCAGGCTGGAGCTGGGACTCGGGGCAGGGACAGGGAGGGGACCCAGCCCAGGGCTGTGATTTCTGCTGAGCTGGAGGTGGCAGATGTTCGCTGATGAATTATTCACCCGGAAAATTATCATGGAAATAGAATGGGCTGGGCTGGGAGGGATCTTAAAGCTCATCAAGTTTTCCTCCTTGCCATGGGCAGGGACATCTCCCACTGTCCCAGGGTCACCCCCACTGTCCCAGGCTGCTCCAGCCCCAATGTCCAGCCTGGCCTTGGGCACTGCCAGGGATCCAGGGACTGCCACAGCTGCTCTGGCAATTCCAGCCCAGCCCCTCCCCACCCTGCCAGGGAACAATTCCTGCCCAAGATCCCACCCAAATCTCCCCTTTTCCAATCTCAAGCCATTCCCTGTGTCCTGTCCCTGCAGGCCTTGTCCCCAGTCCCTCTCCAGCTCTCCTGGAGCCCCTGCAGGCCCTGGAGGGGGCTCTGAGCTCTCCCTGGAGCTTCTCCTCTCCAGCTGAGCACCCCCAGCTCTCCCAGCAAGGCTCCAGAGG